TCCCATTAACGTGTTGATTTTGTCTCTACGTATCTCGAAATTAAGGCTTTAAACAACTTTGCTAAAGGATCGTGGAGACAATCTGGTGTCTTCCTCAAAATAACCGTTGTTGCATAAGTTCCCATTTCCATATTGGGCAGATTTCTCTAAAGATGCATAACTGGTGGTGTTTGTTCCAGGCTTTTTCTACTGTGGGTACTCCGGATTACATTGCCCCTGAAGTTTTCATGCAGACTGGCTACAACAAGCTTTGTGACTGGTGGTCACTTGGGGTCATCATGTACGAGATGTTGATCGGTAAGAAAGAGGCGGTGCACAAGTTTTAAGCAGGAATTGTGGTATGGGACATCGGCTGTATTTATGTGCTTGGGGTCAGGTTCTCCTTGAGTGGTCTGTGATGTTTGTTCTGCTGCACTGTAGAGTTCAGTAACAACAGGAACTATTTTTGCTTTATACAGGATTGTATTTTTCTTTCTTTTCAGGTTATCCACCGTTCTGTTCTGAGACTCCTCAAGAAACATATAAGAAAGTAATGAATTGGAAAGAGACTCTCACGTTTCCTCCAGAAGTTCCAATATCTGATAAAGCAAAGGACCTTATTTTAAGGTGCCAACCATATAGTTTGCCGGTCAATGGAGTACTCATTTTCTTGTCTTGCAGACTGTGCTGTGTACCTCTCATAAGTTGTTTCACAAGAAAAAACCTGATGGTTGTGACAGCTGCATACTCTGTTAGGCACGTGCATCAAGTGCTGAGCTCCCTTGTCAAATACATTTGTCTCTCAGAGGCCATTTACTGGAGCCGCGACTGAACTATACTAAAAAGGAGCTCCCATGTAAATGCTGCTGGTCTGGCAAAAAAAAGAATGTTTCTGCTCTTTATTTGTCTGTGAGCTTCTTGTGGAAGCAACTTAATCTTTTTGCCAGAGCTACCTTCTTACAGTAGCGATGGTTTTGACACTGTATGCACTGGAGCATACAAACGTATCCCAGTGCGTGCTGACTCTTGCTCTTTCATGTATATTTTCAACCATTTACCTATTCTCAGGACAGAAATATAAATGTCTAGCTTTTTAGGCTTTATATGTTCTCCTGCTCTACGCTGGTCCTGAAATAGAAAGGGCACGTTATCCTGTTGGGAAAGAATACCGCATCTGAATTGTAGCATTTGACATGATGTTCCCAAGCATAACTTTGTGCGTTGGTTTTGCAGTGGGAGTTCTTGACCTGCTCCATTTATATGTTAAGCAACCGTAGTAGTCTCAGTTCAGAAAGCCGTTCCATTTCTGCATGGAATGCTTTCGTTTTCATTCTTCCTTCATTTTCATTCTTCCTTCCATCCCAGATTTTGCTGTGAATGGGAGCACAGAATTGGTGCATCTGGTGTGGAGGAAATAAAGAGTAACCCATTCTTTGAAGGGGTAGATTGGGAGCATATCAGGTAAGATGCTTTGCAGAAAAGCAAGCTGCTCTTCTCTACGGACTGTTTAAAGCTAGTCCTGTTCAACAGAAGGGAGCAGCTTGACTGGCGTTTATTCTGTCTAGGTGTGGGTGAGAGAATTGTGTTCCTTATCTGAAGCTTGCTAAGGTTTAGGTACCTTCAGTCTTTGATTCTGTTAAGGAATGGAAAGTGGCTGAATCCTGCTTTCTTCTGCCTTTGGAATCTTAATGCTGAAACTGCTCTTCTTGGCAGAGAGAGACCTGCTGCGATTTCAATAGAAATTAAAAGCATTGATGATACCTCAAACTTCGATGAGTTTCCAGAATCTGATATCCTTAAACCAACAGGTAAATGCTTTGATTCTGCATGTAAAAAATCCTTCCTCTTCTCCAGTAGAATAATGTAACTTTCCTGTTAATCAGAGAAAGGATCTTTCTAGATGCTAGTTTGGTGGGGGTTTTTTTTATCACAATCAAATTGTTAGCTGGTAGCCTTGTGGTGCAGAGGTGTGCAAGCTATAGTTTGGGTTTTGGGACACAGGACGCAGATTTGTGAGTGATGCGGGAGCCGCCTGAGAAAGGGCATCTCTGGGGCAGCAGCGCTCCCAGCAATTCAAATCTGAGGGGGACCTGTGAGCCCAGCACTGGAGTGCCCCCAGTACTGGCTAATTCTTGCTAGCATGGCTAACACGTAGTATAGGGGGCAGGGAGAAGGTGGGACAGAAGCGGGGATGCGTGTTGTGGTGTAAATCTCTAAAGGAACCTTCTATTTATGTGTCAGAGCATAGTCACACATTTGCTCCGTGTGTTTAAACATGTTACAGCAGTTCTTGACTGGGGTTGAAGAATGAAACCGAATGCCTGCATTGATGATACTGCTTTCTTTAGAAGCGTTGTCCCCTACTCCACATCCAGTGTTTTGTATGAAAATAAAATTTACAGTCTTCAAAGCATAATTTTATTTTTTCTGTGTCTCATCAGTGGCAACAAGCAACCATCCAGAGACTGACTACAAGAACAAAGACTGGGTTTTTATCAACTACACCTACAAGCGTTTTGAAGGTCTGACAGCCCGAGGAGCAATACCATCCTATATGAAAGCAGGAAAGTAATAAGTCTTTACCTGGGACAACTTCTGAGCCGTGGAATTCTATTCCTGTACTTCGGGTTTATACCCATCAAAAGAACTTCTTTCATTTTTTAAAGAAAACTTGAGGGCTATCAAGTCTTGGAGAAGACTTCAGGACCCTGTTTTGTTACAGACCCTGGTTGTTACTAAGGACTTTTTCTTTCTGCGCCATTGAAAAATTCCACAGAACGTTTGCATCTTCTCTGCCACAAGCACATTTTGCTGCTTCAGGAGCAAGAGTTTGTTTTCTTTGGAAATTCTTTGCCAGATTGTACAGTCCATGGGGAGATGAGAGCAAGCCTTCGCTCTGGCATTGCATAGCACGGGATGTTTATAGGGACTGTTTTGCCAGTCTTGCATTAAGTGACAAACTCGATCTGCCAATTCTGCCAGCGCTGTTTTCCCAGCGGCTAAGGACTTCAGTACAGAGGAAACAAAGCAATAATTAAAGCTTGAGATGGACAACTCTCCAGTAAACTATCCAGTAGAAGGACACAACTTGTATTGCCTTAACTTTAGTTTGTAGTGCTGTTTTTTATAATGCTGCTCGGAAGCCTCTTGAATAGCATTTCTCAACTCTGTTGCAGTGGCCTCCAGTTGCGGTGCACTTTACTTTTGGTACTAAGACAGTGACCCTCAAGCCATTTAATAGTTTTTCTAAATTAAAAAATTGTGCAACCCCCTTTTTTTTTTTTTCTCTCTTTTCTAGATAGTGATAGGAGAAACGGGGCCACTTCCTCCCCCAAACGCCAACAGTTTTCAGTTACTGTATGAACAGATGGATCTATAAACGATGCAGATACTAAAAGCCCCAGCTGGTAACACAAGTGAATCCGGAATTAGGGCAGAGAGGGAGGGAAATTCATTTAACCTGATCCTCGGTGGGAATCTTGTGTACAGTCCTGCTGCTGCCACCTTTTGGTCACTTTTAAGATCTGCTACACGTTTCCTCGGCTTACAGACGAAACCATCTCTGGTGGCCTTTTTGCTCATGGTTTTGAGCAGGACAGTATTGGATTCTTCTGAGTCTTGATGCCGGAGGCCTCCCTGGCTTTTCCTTCCAGAGCTCTTCTTGCTGGCATGGCTGAGCCATCTGTCCCTGTGGGCTTCCAAAAAGACAGTGCCTCAGGAGGTCACTTTTGGGGGCAGTAGAACCCACCATCTCCGCTCTTTGATTATTGCCTAGCATCATTTCTAGAAGAACATTCAATGATGATCAAGGAGGCTCTCCAGGAGAGCCCCCAAGTGCCTTTCCTTGCCTAGGCGTCTCTCAGAACACGACCGCATCTTGGGAAGGAGGATTCTGCCTCAGTTGAGCTTTTGGTAATTTTTTTATTTATTTTTTTTTTTTTTTTCATAACCACGAGCTCCACTTCGCACTTCCAGGGGCAGGTGGCACGAACCTTTGGGCCCGCCTGGTTCCAGTCTTTAATTTGCAATTAGATTTTTTTTTTTTTTTTTAAAAAAAAATATATATGAATGAGGTTTCTAAAAGCATGTATCGATTTGAATTGCCTTGGATTCTTGCAAACTTTTATTGGTGCTCAACACTAATTACAAGGCACAAACAAAAAAGAAAAAGCTGTTTAGAAACAAAGCTAGAGCAGTGTTTCAGAGTACAAGGAAGGCTTTCAGTTATATTTAGTCCTAACTTTCTAGATTAGGAAATGAAAGAAAACGAGTTTGTAGTGAAACCTTTTTTTTTAAATAGGTGATTTTAGGGAATTTTTACTTAGATGTCTTTTGAACTGAGTGCCATCATGAAGGACTGTTTGGGGGATCGGAAGTACCGTATATAGCTAAAACTGGGTGATAACTCATTAGCATCCTCTTCCTAACCAGCCCTCGTACTTTTTGTATGTGTCTTAGGAGTTTAATGAATTGCCATAAGCAGTTTCGATACCAGTTGGATCCCATAGAGCTGAAATGCAAAAATAGCCTTAATTAGAAGTACCAGGATCATTGTAGTGAGTAGGGCTTACTCAGATGAATAAGGGCTAACTGAAGTCATGATTTATAGAATCAGACTATAACTTTTGACTTTGACTTTTTATCAACTAGTCAGTAATAACACCTTCTGCTCCCTTTTTATTTTTTTGCAAAGGATTGCTACCAACTTCTCAAATTGCTCCATCTCCTTATCCTGCAGTTTCTTCTAACCGTTTGACAATGTTGCCTTATAAACCATCAGAAAACTAAGAGGTATTAATGTGAAAACATTTTAAAAATTCTTAACAGCTTAGCTACTGCCTTAAAATGAATAAATAAAAAAAAAAATCAAAATCCTTTAAAGCTGCTGTGGATTAGGAAGAAATGATTTTGAGTAGCTGCATTATCATCCCTTTACGAAAAGGGACTGGCATTTTTATTTATAAATACCAAAGATGAAGCTACACAATTTATAAGTTTTGATAACTCGCTGTGAAAAAACCTATATATAGTACTATGTATTGTGCATTTTTAGTGCATGTGTTTTAAAGTCTTCTGAAACCTCAGATTGTTCACTTTTTGAGTTAAAGGTGAAGTTTTTCAAAGGCACAAGGAGCAGTCGGGTACCTCACTCCTGTTGTCTTTCAGTAGAAGTTGGTGTCTCTGAATGCAGTCCTCTTGGACAGACCTTCCAGCGGTAGGTTTTGTACCCCAGCTGCACGGTAAGCCCGCCTCCTCCTACAGCTCTTGCCCAACACCAGGAAAAAAAAAGTACAGCATCTTCTCTCCAGGATCCACCCATACTTCACTGCTACCAGATTTTATATGCCTCTTCCATCTCCCATGTCAGCCAAACATTTTTCTTAGCTGCTGGCTTGTGTATTGAGGTTGTATCTATCTTTTTGCTCTCTCTTTTTTTTTTTTTTTAAAAGCTGCAAGCAGTTGCCTAGACTTCTAGGAGTAATTCCAATCTGAATTTCCAATGGATCTGAACATGAGTTATGCTGCCAGTTCATCTCTGTATCATGCCTCGCACAAAACTGCACTAAGTGTTTCTTATCACTGTGCCCTGACTCTGCCTTAACCTCTATGTTGAAAAAGTGTTCTGTAAATATTTAAAAGCTGTTAATAAATTGCATTGTAAAATCTGGCAAGTGTATTGTGTGTTGCTGGGGGAGCCAACTTTTTATGGAACGATCTTTGCATTGTGTTGTGTAAATAAAGTCCTCTTAGTAAACATAATCTTGCTAGAGTGTTTTGTTTTTACAAACTGGTATCTCTCAGGGTTTTGTGGGTTTTTTTTTTTTTCAGATTTGAAATTGATTTTGGAGTTAAGGGTTTGGATATAAGAATGCAATGACAACTCATGGGTTGAAGATTGCATTTCCAAAGGATGCACAGCAGACGTGAAGAAATGAGCACCCCCGTAAAGATGAAAGACAGGGATGACCTGAGAAATCGAGCCTTTCTGGGCGGGATGTGCCTGGCCTCCGGGCAGGCGTGCACACGACCGGCTGCCTGCAGCGGTAAATGTCACCTCAGTTTACCAACTTCAGGGCAAGTTGTTTTGAATCTTTTCCTCTTTCTATTTTTAAAAGGGATAATAAGCAGTGAGCCAGTGGCATTGGAAGCAAAGCTATGACCCTTCATTTTTTTTTTTTTCTACCAGTTTGTAACATGCCAAAAATCAAACTTGCACTTCTTACTTCATTGCTTCCCATTTGCAACAGCCCCACTTGTGGGTACAAGTTCATGTTATCACTTCAGAAATTCCAGCTTTGTTCAAACTCTAATGCCTTTCTCAAGCTTCATCAAGAAAACCCTTGAAACACATCCAACACTGAAGATGGAAATAAAAGCCAGACCTGCTCCAAAGCTGTTTTCTTCCAAAGACAGAAGTAGAAGTGGCGAGCATCTCTCACAGCACGCTAACCAAAAATAGCACGAGGGCCTGTTAGAGATGCTGCATAGCTTGTGGGTTAAGTAGTGTTGTCTCATACCTGTGCTATGTGCTGCTTTTAGAACATCACTGCACTGAGTTGGTAAACTTTGAGGTCCTCTCAGCACCTGCAGTAGTGACACTTCTTGGGCGGCTGCTGCACAAGGTCCCTGCCAAACCAACCGCGCTCTGCCTGATGAGAAACTACGTTTAAGGTTTTGGGGTCACAAGCCACGCTTGCTTTATGAAGCAAGGACACAACGCCTTCTAGCAGTCTATCCCCTCCCCATGTTCTACTCCAGACTTAAAACAATTTTTAAAAGAGCCAAACAAGCCACATATAATTTATACTTTAATACAGAAAAGAAACCATACAGCTGTAGTTCATACACACCACAGGTAACACTTCAGTATATCTAGAATAAGACAAAACTTGTTCTTGTACCTGAATAGCAGGTGACAATGAGAAAAGGAGGAAAAGCAAATGGATACTTTTTCAATTCCATTTACTGTTCCAGTGGAACTCAACCCTACTTAAAAAACCAAAACAACACAAAAACCCAACAAACCCTCCAGAATTCATCTTTAATTGCTTGGGAAAGCCAATAAACTACAGTGGCTTTTTAGAGTGATAAAAACCGCATGGAAATCATGGAAGCCAGATACCTCCATCCCATGCTGAAGGTCCAACTGATTACCGAGAATCCCAACAAGCTCCTCCAAGGCATTGACAGTCTTTAACCCTCACACAATGGCTGGGGGCAGTTAAGCGCCTGGGGTCACCATTTCTAATAAACTGGCTAAATCCTTCAAGAGCCCCAGCTAACGCTGGGCTCAGGGACGGACACCGGTGGGGTTTGTTTTGGCCGAATGTGGTACTTAGCTGCCAGATCCCATCAGGTGCCATCCATGTCAGATCCTTGGCACCTGATTCCTTGACATGGGTTAGCGCTCAACAACACGCACGTTCAAGTCCTAAGAGCAGAACGTGGGTAGACCCCAATTCCGAGTCAGCCGATAGCAATACGCATTTACTTAAAACTTACATTGCTGTAAAAATAAATACACACACAAATATATCCATTGGGCCGGGGGGCAAGTTCCATCATTGCTGGGGGGACAGTCTCACCAGTGCCTTTGCTTGATTTGTGGGAATGGCTCGTTACCAAGGCAGGTAATGGGTTTGGGCTGGCCCTTAACTGGAAGGTTAATGGTCCACATGTCTTCCTTTCTCTACTACAAAAATAGAAATTCATCTAGAGCAATAACAGAAAGTGATTGCACACCACCTCTGTGCAGATACTGAAGGACACTTCTCTATACTGATCCAATGACACACAGGGAGGATTTTTCAAAAGCAGTCTGTTGGACCTGGGTATCTAAACCCTGGGATGCTAAGGAAGTCCTGAAGCACTTTTGGGAATCTTCCCAAAGGCACTTAATAAAAAGAAGACATCTATTGGCTGCACTTAGGAAAGAAGCTAAGAACAGAAACACTGTAAATAATGGAACCTGTATCTATACAAATGGGAACTAAATATATCAGCAAGTACATGCCTTGCCAGAGATTTTGTTACTCTCCACTAAAACGACACTCGTAAACCTTCAGGAAAATTTGTGATTGATACTGTCATGTTATGTACACTGAGAAAAAAACCCCATCCTTAGCAGCAAAACAGTAACAGCAATCTTCAATGCTAGGTCCAATATTCACTTTGCAGACAGATGGAGAATAACTGATGATGCAACCCTGACACCAAAGGATTAAACCTTCGAGGAGCAGACTGATGCCCACCTCTATTTTGCCAAGTATAACCAGGTCGCTCAATACATAAGCGTCACAGGTTTCAACAGCAGTCAATTGCAAGAGAAGAACTGCCCTGAATTTAACAGTTTTGCAAGCTCCCTCCCTCCCTCTCTTTCTTTTTGAATCAGAAAGGTTTGGGTTGGAAGGGACCTTGAAGATCGAGTTCCAACCCCCCTGCCCTGGGCAGGGACACCTCCCCCCAGCCCAGGTTGCTCCAAGCCCCGTCCAACCTGGCCTTGAACACCTCCAGGGATGGAGCGATTAGGTTGCAGCTGTTCTCTGCAACAGCACCGTATTTAAGTACTCCACTTTGGGTACGTGAAACCTCTACAGAGCCATCAGAAACGATGGCTTTGTAAGGCAGGCCTGTTGTGGTTGACGTGTAGCTCGGCTGCGGCAGTACTGAACTCGCTGTGTGCTAACCGGGGGGTTAAACAAGCCCACAGGTAACGCCGTGCTGCAGGAACGGGACCAGCTAGGCTCCAAGAGAACTGAGCTAAACCAGCCTGGAGCGCGTCTAGACTTACAGTCACAGCTTTGTTGGCCCCGAATCCAGAATGAACAGAGCCTTAACCACAGACTACGATAATATATTCAGAGCAGCAAAAAGGAGAGCTGTTCCCAGGTGTGTGTATTTTTCTCTGCTGAAAGCTGTTTTAGTACTGGTATTTCTTACCTTCCTGACAGCAAAATGGTCCAGTCAGTTCCAAATTGGGAAGAATATAGCTGGCCTTTAAAAGCTGCAACAGTAGAGTGCTCCTTGGAGAGTCTACAGAGATTTTGACTGACTAAGGTTGATGAAACCAAGGATTTTACTCAGGTAGTAAACTGTCTGTACTGGGAGTTCCTCCACTGGCTTTTTTTGTCTTAGCAGGGGCATGGAGACAACTGAAAGTCTTCAGCATGCACAGTCACCTCTAGAAAGCTGCTTACATCTATTAGGCTATGAAACAGGCTTACTTTATTGATAAAGTATCAACTACACCTCTTCTTTTTTGCTTTTTCCTTCAGCATGATCTACTTGTTTTACTGAACTTAACATACAACATCCCTAAAAACAGTGATTCCATCTTACGGAGAAGTATATATGGGAAATTCCTGCGCAGAGGCATATGCTTCCTACGGAACTAGTTCGTCCTTCCCGAGAAGGGCAGTACAACACGCTGGATGCAAAGCCAGGTGGCAGTGTAAACAGATTCCTCCAAACTCAGGATTTTGCTGTCATTTCTCCACACTCAGTATTTTGCTGTCACAACTGTGCTACATTTCTGCTGGTTGATGAAAGAGTATCATCTGTCCCGCTTTGATGTTCAGTCCTTTGTAAGTGATTATCAGAAAAGCAAAGCTAAGTGCCTAATGGTAAAGGAAAGCTTTGTCTTGACAGGCCCAGAATTTCCTCTTTCATGTCAAACAAGACGTTTTTAAATACTGCTGCTCCTCTTTTTAAAAATTTAGGTAAAATATTCAGCACCCACCAATCTGGAAGCCTTTGTAGTAGAAACAAACAGCATAATTTCTTTTTGTTTGAGGAGATGTTGCTTTTGATTGCACAATTAGACTATGGAGTGTGGCTCTTTATTAACATGCTTGAAATACGACAATGTAGTAAGAGCATGAACGAGGACAAAGCACCTTGCAGGAGTCTGCGTTCCATCACCTGGGATGAAACTCTGCTGAGACATTCCCACATCAAGCAGGACTATCCACCCTGAGCCACGACTAATCTGGTAGATCGTTAACAGCCATCTGGGAGAACGGTGCGTTTAGCCTGTCCAGTTCATCTACTTGCGGGGGGTGATGCATTATAACCTCATGGTCCTCTGAAACGTCATCACCCACAGTGACTAGGTTTGTTAGAGATTTGCTCCGAACACACTGGAAATCAACATGACGGCTTTTGCCTTCTTCCTTTTCCCATGACATCTGGATGAACGGCCGTTGAACATAGTTGTATATCACTTCTGACCGGCCGCCAGGTCTCCTCTTCACCTTCTCTTTACAGGTGGGATATCCTGAAAACACAAACAGCCAGTCAGTTGCACAACACACCTTTCACTTGCACAAAGGGGCAGTAGGATCCCAGAAGAACAGCTAGGCAGGGGTGATTACGGGGACAGGGGGGAATTGTAGAGAAATGCTCACATTCCACATTATTGGCCTGCTTTCTTCTCCCCTGAAAAGACGGTGTAGCATTGTGTGTAGTCATACAATCAATGGCTGCGCAGCATTAGCCATTTGGTGAACAAACATAGCTACTAGAAAAATAAGAGTCTCCCAGGACAGATCACAGCATTCCCTAAGCTCCCTAAGGGAATGCTTGGACCAGGAGGCAGAAGTGTTTGACTCCCCTTTCCTGTTTACTTGGTCCTAAAGAGACAGGGCTTGCTGGTACATGCTACATATCTTTCATTTTCCTTTAAGTTTTAAGCCTCCTGGCCAATTTCAGTGTAACATGATAGAGGTGAAGGAACATGCCCAGCTTCTACTAGTTTCATGAAAATAAATGCCGAGGAAAACACAGAGCAAAACAGGAAATGCCTGGAGTCCAGAGGAAACCAGGCTTTACTGACTACGGAGTCACCTGTTTTAGAATTTCCTTTGTTGAAGAAATACTTTACCTTCAATGCCAATGCGAATATTTTTCAGGCCCCGTTCCTTTAATACAGCTTTTGCAACATCGCGATTCTCGATGTACTTGAAGAATCTGTACAGCTTGGAACTGTAAAGGACTTGAGAAATAAAAAGGGTGATGAGAATCTACAAGGAGGGACCTTCTCCCCATTTTTGACATGCTCAGCTGTGGGGATGCCAAAACCCAGGTCTGGTTTCCAAGAACTACTTCAGGTGTCCGTTCTCATCCCTGGGATTAACTGCACTTCCCTGGTGGGAAGGTAGTGATGCACATTACAGTCTGGACAGAACGGGTGGTGATGGATGTGTAAAGCAAAGAGCTTTCACTCACTGGGGAGCCAGGTAAAGGCTTAGTGGGAGGCAGCAAACCAAAGGAAGAGATGCAGTGAGTGCTGTCAATACCAATGCAGGGAATTAGACCTCTAACTAGCCAGGTACCCTGCCTCTAGCAGTAGCCAGTTCAGAAGAAACGTACAAAACAGCACCCCATGTACCAGCATCTCTTCCTGGAGGAAGACTGCTGTTTGGGCAACGGAATCACAGAATCACAGAATGGTCAGGGTTGGAAGGGACATCTGGAGGTCATCTAGTCCAACCCCCCCGCCAGAGCGGGGTCACCTACAGCAGGTTGCACAGGACGGCGTCCAGGTGGGTTTGGACTGTTTTTGAACAGGTCCTTTCCATATGGCCACATATCTGCGTGTGCACTAAACACAGAGCCAGCAGCTCCAACGCAGTGCCCTTACTTTGCGAGTACTCCTCTCCCATTGGAGGTGGATGATCTTCATCCCAGTCCACAGTGTCTTCATCCGTCAGCACGACAATATGGCATTCACGTTCCCCTTTCCTTGCGCTATCCACCATTATAGGCAGAATTAGCTCCTCCAGGTAGCTGTCAAACTGCTTGTGAGCACCATCATTGGAGAGCTCATGTAACAGAGCGCCTAATGAGACATAAATCATATGATGAGCTTTTTTACACAGTATGAAAATGTATCTCAGCTCTACACTTTGCAGATACATTCAAGAGCACAGCCTGCATTTTTCTTTAGACAAACTCCCTAACATATGTTCAGATGCACAGTTTCCAGCTCCAGAACTGGCAAAATCAGATATATGAGACTGCATTTCAAATGGGATGCAAATGACACTGTAGAACCATTACATTACCATTAAAAAAACACCAAGGTCCAATCAATACAGCAAAACAGTAAAAGACTGAATAATTAATTCATTACGATACTTAAATTTCCAGCACCAACCTCTGTCCTTGAAAGCACGTTTTCTGCCTGCTCTGTGATCACTCATCAGAGGACAGGGTAGGAAATCCCACCCAAGGCCTCTGCTATAATACTATATGCCCCATTTCTGCCTTTCACAGATTTGCCTATGTTAAAAGTACTTTTTTTTTTTTTTTTTTTGCCAGCATACCCACAAAAAGCTGCTCCCCATCAGATCCCATCATGACTAGGAACTCTCTCCTACTTTCCAGCTCCGGTGTCTTTGGTTCCTGTTCTGCTCATCATCCATCAGCTTAAATTATTCACGATTCTCTGGTACATTTTAGACAGGAGTTATAACCCTGCTTTTAGCTTTCATTTTGTTTGGCTGTAACAGCCTCTTCTCAGCCTCTGTTACAAGAGGAGACTACAATTTTGATGATTTGCATTTGCTTTTTTGAGCAAGGTGTCTGCGTTCTGCAGGATTCAATCACTTCACTTTGGATTGATGCAGCAAAAGAGGAAACTGTTTAAATGCAATGCATACATAACTCCTAGTGGAGACAATATCTTCATGCTTAAACTAAAGCACACAATTAAGAAATGCACTGAATCAGGATCAGAGTGCTCAACACCACGCAGATGATCTCCTAAGAGCTGATTTCTCTCCATACTTACTTAAATCCTGACATTTGATTGTGTTGAAATCGAAGTTTATGCAGAGGTAGTCACATGTGTCTCGAAGGTCTGGGATGGAAATCCCATCAGGGCAGTTAATGATTCCGGTTTTGTAATAATCCTGCAAATAAAATGACAGTTTTTTCAGAGAAAAATTAAGAGTAGCTTGGACTCCGATCATTTTTAATTAGTTCTTTGTTTTGTTAACCAACATTTGGGAATTACAGAGGCTATATATAGCTCTGTGAGCAGTAAAACCAGCCATGCTTGTCCGAGAATCTACGCCTCTTTGCAGATCCTCATGGGTCTGATAAACGGTGAGCTCCAGTTAAAACTTTTCCCATGGCATAGGGTTTCATAACATCTCATATGTAATATGCATTTATATGCAAATGCAAGGTCAGGACACAGCTCAGGAACTACAATGGCATGACACAAGAAAGGTAAAAGGCAATGTGAACAAATATCTGAAACAATGAGTCATACCAAAGTCTATTTTTTTTTTTTAAATCAAAATGCAAAACAGTAATAAAAGAATATGTCCCAGGGGTTGTGCAGCTGCCTGGGAGATGGCTCAGTTTTGCACACGTGACAAACAGACTGTGTTTTGTTGTGTGTGGTTTTTTTTTTTTTTTTTCTCTCTCTACAATCTGCAAACATCTCCTTACCAGCACAGTCCGGAACACAGCTGAGCTAATTCCTTCTGCGATTTCATATTCTCCCTTTTCATTTGGCCTGGTGAAATTATATTCTCTTCCCGGTCCAAACATCCTGAACAGATAAAAATCTATGTAAGTGCACGAGTACAGTTAAATGCACTAATTCTGGAGACCGATAGGTGCACTGAGGTTAAACAAAACCAGCAGTGACACATATATACAGTAACTTGAAACCTACGCTCAAATCGCTTACAGTAAATAAGCACAAGAGCTGTCTCAGCTAAGTCCTCCTACAGCCGGACTCTGTCTGCCACTATAGCTACTGTATCATACGGACCAAGCCACAGCTTAAAGGAACAGAGAATTCAGCCCTGGATCAGAAAATACCCTGGCAATGAAGCCCTTTCACTGAGGCTACGCGAGATAACCGCCACGTGCCTTTTGATCCCTTGTCTTACACGACCTGCGCAAGGGTTAGTAACCCGACAGAACCTGTCCCCCTTTGGTCAGAGAGGGGGGACAGTGCTGCTGGCGAAACAAAAATAAAATAATCAGTGCTTCTTGTTGCATCAATAGGCTCCAACCTTTAAGCCGTGTTACAGGGAGCTGAGTAACTTCTCTTATGGGAGAGTATCATAAGATAACAGCAGATGGGTGACGGAACATTATCATTTTCCCCATTCTGGAAAGGAATTTGTCAGCTGTAACCAGATGTACTACTTACAAACCAGGCACACGCTTGGACAGAAGGCAAAAGCAGACCATGTCTAGCACAAAGTGCACATTGTTTGAAGGAAGTGGACTGAAGGGAGAATGTTATCTAGGGAACTACCAACTCTCTCTACATCTGATCTTGTCTTCAAGGCCTCTCCCACAGTGAAGTTCTGAAAGAGGTCAACCTTGCTTGGCTTGTGTGTACAGATGAGATGACAAAACAAAAATTAGGGGTTTATTCCATTTTAGCAAACATTTGACCCCCTTGCGGTATCTTGAAAATGGTGGAAATCACCCACCTTCCCAGCATAGTATCAGGGTGAGCCGTGAAAATCTGTGGATTCACTGCAAAGCGAGTGCCATCTACCACAAGTGTCACTTTCTCTGGAGCCACTGTTTGTGAATTGATGCTCGAAGACAAAGCGCAGCATCCATGGCGTTCCTGGGTATTAAAATACTCTGGCTGTCTCTTATTTCCATCTTGGAAATGACAGTTGTGCGTGTCTTCAGGAGCAGACAACATGCTACTGATCTGGGGAGTTATGGGACAAGCAGCGTGTCGGCATTCAGAATCTAAACCTGAGAGAGACAAACAAATATTGCAAGGGTAAGATATAATTTATTGAAAAACATAGTTTCATAGTAACACTTTCTACTGTAATGAGAAAATGGAGTCATACAATAACAAGGGATGTCAATATACATAACTGTCCGAGTAATGTTATATGACATAAAACTAGACTGCAGTCAGTTTTCAATTTGAAAACGTCAAATTGAGCCAGCGGTTGGATTTTGGATAAAAAATTTCCTGATGAACCATGATGCTTAATACTCCTTGTTAAAGCAAGATGGATTCAGAGGGTACAGAACAGGAGCACAGGAACTAGACAAGGCCAGAAATACAGACGCCTAGCACTGACACCGACTCTCACAGGGAAGCTGGAGCAGCAGCAGCAGCACACACCACGCTAGAGGAGGTTTAAGCCAGCAGTGCTCGATGCCCGGGCCATGGTGGGCACACAGCTCATCAGCACTGTCCAGCTACTTTCAGTTTATCTGTTTAGGAACAGCCTCAGGAGGAGCTGCAAGTTGGGCGGCCAGGGCACAGCCACGTGAGGATGTTGCCAAGACAGCAAGACCCTAAACTCTGCTGTGGACCTTTGTCCTTTACGCCAGCCTGGCAAAGGCAGGGTACGCACATTCTGCACTCCCCAGCACAAACTGCTCTGGGACACTGGAATTCTTCCAAAACGTAACACCCCTCAAAAAAAAAAAATAATCTCCCTTAAAGGCTACTATATGGTAAAGATGTTACCCTCACCCTCAGTCCTGGGAACTGCCGCAGGGCTGTGACCTCCGAGCACCGCATTACTTTCTTGTGACTCATGGATTGCTACAGTTATGTTTTCCACAGGGCAACTGGACTCTGGATTTCTTGACCAGTCTGTCCCACCAGCACAGTTAACATTCATGCTGGGCCTCCGTGATGTCAGGAGTTGGTTGCGTTTCCTAAGAGAAGAGCTAGGAGAGAAAATACCGGGTTGTTAATTTTGGAAGAAATTCCCAAGCAATGAAGCTCAAAGCCCTGTATGCAGTCCTGCAAGCAAAGTCCCTCAGGCTCAAAAGGCTTTTCTTCAGAGGCTTCACTGGACTTCAGAGAGGCGTAGGATGCTAGTTATGCCCCTGCACTAACCTAGGAAGAGGAAGAAACAAAAGTATTCATGTAACCAGGGGTCTATTTAATCTGTAATTTTTTAAAAGTAAGTCTGAAGCTGCTGATGTCTTTAGATCACGTGTGTGTTCCTGCAAAAACCCTCCTGGCCTCCAGACCACTAGAGCCCTTTAAAAATGTTTACATATCTCTTGATTCCCAGCACTGCCAAAGTGAGCTCTGGAACACAGCTATAGCCCAAAATACAAGATTTTCCCAGTTAACAGTTAACTTTGCCTCTTAACCACTCTGAGCTTTGACTAGGAGGTTCCCTGCTCCAAGTGATTGCTTTTTTGGGGGTCTTCCTTCTTCCTGATTTATCACCCTCCTGTGACATAGTGTTCATCCCAGTATTTAACCCAATATAGTCCTACACAAATACTCAGATCACAGAGAACAGCCTTGACCGCAGTGGCCTTACACCCATCACACCCTGGCTCAGCCCAGTACACACACTGCTTTAACCAATGCCATTCGAATCTTAAACGTTCTTCCAGCATATGCAGAGAGACATCTTCCATTATTGCTCTTTGGCCATTTCACTCTTAAGTGAAATCAGTTTTCCCTGTTCCCATCTTTAAGACTCCCTTCATTCCACTCCTTTATGTCTTCAAACAGATTTCTTTTGCTGTCTCTTTCAAAAAAAATCACTCTCATTGGCATATATTTTGTCCTGCTATTACCTTGGACAAGAAACAGCTCTCCATTCTTGGCCTTAAGTGTTTTCCTTTCACTCTCTCAAACATAAAACACCAATTTCCTCATTAATGAATTTTCCCAATTTCCCCCCTGCAGAACAATTGTCCTGTGTCTTTTTCTTGGCAGAATTAGGACTGCAGGGCTCGCGGGTGCCATCTATAAAGCATGGGGCTAGATACAAACCAGAGAAAATACAGCACTAATAAAACAACAAAATGCCAAACAAGAGTTGGCGAGTTTTCTGCTCAGGACCTGCTGAGGATGAAGGCCTTAATGAGCGGTTAAATCAGTGGTGGGTTTCAAGCCCATCGTTACTGGCAGTCAGCGTAAACATTTCATTCTTAATTAGAAATTTTAAAAAGGAATGACAATTCCTTCCTCTTGATCTGTAAAACCGAAACTAAGCTGCCAGCATTATTCTATCTGTGTATTTTTAGAAAAATCTGTTGCTTACGCATCATGTGATATTCATCAGAAGGAAGATTTTTGGCAACAGCAAAACCATGTGAAAAGCTACTGTATTCTTTCTTTTTTTTTTTAAAAGGCTCTGGCCGGCTGGTAGGAACAGCCGCGAGGAGCCTCCGAGGGTCACCGTGGATCCACAGACCGCGCAGTGCGGAGCACATCACCACGCGCCTCTCCTCTCCCCGGCGTGGCTGGGGCTGTCATCACAACCCCAGAGAACTCTCTCTGGAATTATCCATATAAGTGAGCAAATGTACAGCACATGCAGAAAACGCTGTCTGAAGTAAACTCAAATATGCAAACGCTCACAGCGTACAACACTCTCTTAAAAAAAACCCACCTTTAAATCAATTCCAGAACTGACAATTTCAAATACAGCAAAAAAAAATAAAAATTCAACCATTCCCCTATTTCATACAGCCTACTGTAATTATCGTGAGGACACTGAGTTTTCCAGACTGCAAACGTTGACACATTTATACAACTAACACTGGTTTCAAACACAATCACTGAATTCTAAACATTACGCTATATATTTTGACCAAAATGCTTTAAAATTTGGTGACTGCACAGAAAGCCAAAATATATTTTTTTAAAGCTGCAGTTTGATTTACTTAGGCAAAAGTGTTTTGAGATGGGGAAAAGAAATCCTTGTTGAGAGGATACATATTCATCTTGGGATAGCCCTTAAGAGGAGTCCTTCGTGTGACTGGGAGGAACACAAACAACATACTGGGGTGCGTCTCAGGAACTCTTTTTTCCCTTCCAAACTTTCCTGTATAGAAACAAGCTCCCTGATAAAACTGAGATGCTAACACACACACTTGGAAAGGATTTTGCTCTCTGAGCTGAGAAGAACTCTATTAAGCAAGCTCGATAAGCATAAAATTTACTTCTTAGGCCTCTTTCTTTCGAGAGTGCTCCACCGCTGCAGTTCTGCCAACAAGCTCCCCCTGCGCCGTCTGAACAATCTCTTAACTATTTAATGCATTACTTAGCAGAGAGGAGAATTTAGGCAGGCAGGCAGATCAATAAGCAGTTTATACCCAGGCAAACAGCGGCTTTATCAAGAGACGCTTACATTCCATAACTTCACAAGAGGCTTGCCTTATAAGCTGTATTTAAGGGATGTCAAATACAGACTGAATTTTCACAACAATCAAATTGGTTTGACGAACACGGCAATCTGCAACTTGACAATCGCCTTAAGCTTTGAATTAAATGCACACACAGCTCAAGAGACCCTGACTGCCATTCAGCAGCGTCCTCTGCTACGGCATCTCAGAAAATATTTACAGAAATATCATCAGATACATAGGAACTACATTTCATTAGTTTGCCATGATCATTTTCCCACCCTTTTCTGCTTGATCTACTAAGCAGGATTTTTAGGGAAAAAAGCCCAAGCTGTTGACACCTTTCTCCTCATTCTCCACTATTCCACTGAGTTTAGCACCAGGGAAAGGTGCTCAAAACTGCAGAGACGGGAAAATTCAGAAATAGATGCTGCTCTTTACAACTGGTGGCTCTTACAAGCATCAGATCTGACTTTCCTCATTAAACCTACAGGAAGCCGAACGTTCAGCCCTGCTGACAGCCCGAGTTGAACCAGGCTAACGCTGCTTTCCTGTCTGCTGTCCCCTCTTGGCATGCCCAAATCCTACACCTTGCCTGTCAGCAGAATTGAGGCAAATGAGTACGGATTCCTTCAGCACATCTGGCTGGTACAATAAATACCCAAACTAGTCATTTAACATGACAAACATATTGCAATCACGCATACAACCCAGTAGGGAAACTAGTACATAAAGACTTCAGAAGGCCATACTCACGCCTGACCAGCTTACAAATGTCCCGGTTTCCTTTCATGCCTAAGATCAAGGTGAACTACCCGTGGTGAGAATGAATACCTATAAATAATAATTAGCACTATTCATCTTCAAAGCTTTTAACAAATATTAACCGCTCGTTGCTCCTAACAGCCCCGGGAAGCACTGCAGGGAAGTCTTTTATGAGAGGAAAGAGGGAAAGGAAAAAAAAAAAGAGACATAATCTTCAGGACCAGCCAGAGTACCGGGCCCACCAACTAAGGAGGTGTTACGCTGACTTTCAGCGCGTTCGCTGCTCACGCTCCCTGGCTGCGCACCCACAACCACCCTGCGGTCAGCAGGACAAATACTCGCAGGTTACCATCTTCTCCTGAGGTCTGCTTCCACACACGTTTCTACCCCGTGGTACGCACAAATTGGCTCGTACCACAGAATTCATCACAGGCAGTAAACAAACACCCCGGGTTCCTAGCTCGCTTTGCAGTAATTTCTTTGCACACTCAGATCCTGAAGGACCAGACAGGGACCAGTCTGCAGAGGAGCTGAAGACTCACAGCTTGTGGATAGCTGGATTTTGGGAGCTGGGAACTCAGGAACATCAAAAGCCCTATGTCACATTCAGCACTAAAGATCACAGAAAGAGCTCCTAAATAGGCTGTGATTTTTTTTTTTTTTTGTGAAAGGAAAGAAATATTACAGTCAAAAAATCACAACTCCCATCTGACTCTGGCAGTTGGTTTTGCCTAACTTGGAGCGTGCAGCTCCTTCCTCCCTCCAGAACACAACTGTTAAGAATGAGCTCCGCAACCAAACAAGCATCTCTGTTCTCCAAACCACATGCCGATGGCCACAGTGAAGTCATCTTTATTTGAACTCGTTTAGAGCCACTACTTTTGAGAGAAAAATATGGAAGTGATATTTAAGTGGTGGGTTTTTATAACACAAATGGGAAACAAAGTTTTATTTAGCAAAGCGTCTTTGGCACAAACAATTCATGTTACAAAACCTTTTGCAGAGATAGAGGCTGATCCTTCTTCTATGTAATTCTTCAGAAAGAAGGAAGCGCACTGGAATGTAAAAAGGCCGGGACGATCTTTTCAGCACATTATCCTTCCCCACCCTAATGAATCTGAAGCACATCCAAAGCCGTTTCCCAAGGTACACAGTTCTCACCCACCTACTGGAAGGAGCTGAATGGCTGAACTTGTACAGACCAACGTAAACAGTACGTAAGTGACGTCTGCAAGGAAATGAAACTCAAATACATGTCCAGCAGAGAAAACCCATTTAGATGCAGGACATTTTATTACACAAAAGATAACAAAAGCATCAGTACTGACTTGCTGGTTTCTAGCTTTTTATCGTATTACTTGTTCCTTATCCTTCCCCTTGGGATTTTTTTTTAAAGAGCCATTATAAAATAGTTTCGGTATCAGGTTTGCAGAAATTCACAGAAACTTCAAAGAAAAATAATGAAAAGCTGAGCTGTCAGAATCCATTGAGGAGTAAAGCCCTTTACTGTAACATCTGACAGCTTATGCACTGCTTCACTGTCATCTGGCATGACAAGAAGGAAGTCAGAAGAGAATAAAAATAGTAGAAGCGAGTAACCTTACTTCACCATTCCGTTTGCCAATGGCAAAGAACGACCAGCACGTTGAGCGAGTGAATCAGATGGTTAGCAATCTTCCTCTCTTCCTAAACCACAGCGTAACCACGATGACTGAAATAAAACTCCAGACAACTCATTTTTAAGGTGACAACACTCCTTTAAATCTACAAAAACATTCCCGTGTACAATTATTCTCAGAAATATGAGCAAGCAGGAAACACGCATACGCAGGGTGTGCCTGACCTAATTCTACAGTCTACTACTTTAGAACAAGATGTATTTCTAATATAATCACACACCTTTTAGTTTAGCCTTGCTTTAATTTCTTAAAACGTATCCTTGGAACACAAAACCAGAAAAAATAAATTGGCAATGACTGAATTCCTCCTCTGGAGAGAAAAAAGGAAATCTCACAGGCTTAAGCTAAATAACGAGAAGTATTTCCTGCACATCAGGATTAGCGAATCAGTATAGGGTACGGCTAAACCACAGCAGGGAGTGCGGCACAGAGATACCCACGCCAGGAGAGATCCGCCGGCCAAGGCTTTGCCGTGCCATACACAACGTGTGGATTTGTCAGTCCTGTACCACGCCGAGTCTGTACACCCGCCCTCTCTCATGCGCTACTCACCACTCACACGCATCTTCTCTCCGTTGGGCTGCTCTCATGCACCCTACACAATTTTGGGAATTTGGTTACGTAAAAAAGCAGCGATTAAACTTGCTATGATAAAATATCATCTTAGCAAGTAGGCAGCAATCCAACTTTCTACTTTTTTTATGACAACTATTTGCTGTTGATCGTCAGACGCATACTTTCCCAGACAGAAGGAGGAAGAGGAAAAAAACACCATACTGCTTGTCAGCTCGGTGGCAATAAAAACTCCCGGGTCGCAGAGAAGCATTCCAGAGGGCCGTGCAAAATGAGAGTAACCCAACCGTTAGAAAGGAAGGCAAAATTTAAAAATTTCTTCTCTATTAAAGATTGAGAACAGATCTGGGGTCTCATTCTGTAAATATGAAGAAAATCCACTAAAAACAGCAGGTCTGAACTTGCATTAATGAGACTGGAGTCAAACCCGAGGAAATTTGTCCCCAGCTTCTGTTCACTCCCACACCTGTAACTTTGGAGTCCCTGAAGATTTAAAAAAATTAAACGGTGAGAGTATGGAAAGGAAACAGCATTGAAAGGCACTGGAAAAAAAACCTGCCAGGCTGTGCCTGCTCTCGTCTCAACTGAGCTTCCCCCATCTTATGCTCTGCTTTGTTCCCTTTGGCATTCCCAGTAAGAGGGAAAAACAGCATCATTAGGAAATTGGAAAACACAAAATAAGTATTAAAACTGCCTATTAAAACACATCTTCAGTATAAATGGTATAAAACTCAACTAGAGTTTAAAACACAAGGAGCTGCCTTTCCTTTTACAAGTTGCTTGGCGTAAACACAAGCCTATCGCAACGCTTTATTTACTTAAAAATAAAAGTGAGCGATGGGCCCACGTTGTCAGTACTGCACAGTGTACAATGGTAGAAAGACACTTCTAACGCAGTGACACATCCCGCTTTTAAATCTTACTCCCTGCTTTCGGCCAAATTCTACAGCCTTTAAACATTTTAAGATCTGGAGGGTCTGTCTCTCAGTCACTAGCAGGTGGTTTGTTGTTTGTTGGGTTTTTTTAAAATAATTTTTCCAGCTGTCAAGTACAAACGTGGTTCTTCACTTACTATTTCTCTCTTAAGCGTAAGACTCATCTAGAAGATCAGATTTTACCCTCTTCCAGAATGTGAAGGGCCATGTGTGAAGTCTCACATAAGCAGGGAAGCTGGTGTCACCACGCTGCCCTGGGCTAGTGTACCTTCTAGCACAGGGGCCTGAGCCCCGGGCACCGTCCTGAGCCCCGGGCACCGTCCTGAGCAGCTGAATCAAACAAGGGATGCTCAAGGTGATGTGACACTTGGCACTTCTGAGGTTGGCACCTGTAGATATGCCTGTATCCCAGGGGTACAACATAAGGGTGCATTCACCCAAATTGCATCAGATAGAAAAATCTACCTGAAGCCTTTAATATGCTTTTCTCATACCTACTAATGATCCTCGCTTCTTTGTCTGCTCTAGACACAAACATAACCAGACAATAAAAGGGTGATTTATAGGTTGAACTAGCACAGGCACATTACAAAAGGCTTTTCCCTTGTTATGAAATAACTATCAATATACAGAGGATTCATTTTCCATCTGGCTTTGAAATATAGATGGAAAATAATGTCCAGCAGGACTGATGCAATGCAGAACAGCCTGCAAATTCTGGCAAGAGACAGCAAGAAGGCTGATGAAATGCTTGATTGTTTTCCCCTCTTCTGTGCATAGTGCTTCACTGTTAGTGAAGTTTATGGACTTGAACTCGTTTACTTGAGTCTTAACAAAAATCCACTCTTCCTACAAACGCAATTCAAAACTAGTCTGCAATATAGTTTTAAAGGTTTAACACTGCGCATCCACACCTTGATTTAAGACCCATGGCTCACCAGGTTCTTCCAGCGCCTGGTTTAGATGCCGAAAACTCACATCGTTGCTGATGGCACTGACCCACATCAGCGCCCCACACTGACAGCATCATTTCTTTTGCCAACCTATAACAACCAAGACTGATATATGCAGAAAACTTGTTGAGATTTATTAAGTAACTTTTCCAAAATAGGTAAGTTATACTGTGGCAGCCTCATCAACTGGAATAGACGAAGCACATCCAATAATGGCCTACCTCTGGGTGTCTCAGAAGGGAACAAAACTTCGGAATAAGGCAGCAGGTTAGTGCTTTGCTAGGGCTATTTCCACCCCGTGAGGCTCAAAGGTACCAGTGTTAAAGAGCACAACCAAGCAACCACTATTCACACTCCTGAGTTTAAGATAGTAATCTGAAAAATCATAGTTCTTACATTTGATCCTCATAAAGAGCTTAGCACTAGCAAAGCTGCCATGACTATCAGGTTATCTGATTAAATTCGGTCAGCAAAGTAAATAAAGCTGGCCATGCCAATATAGAATATATACAGAATATATATCCTTTCTAGCCAGAAGGATGGACTATGCAGATCTGAGCAGGGTAAGGGGAAAAACCCCGGCGAAAGATGAGCTGTTGCAAATATAAGCAGGATCATCTTCTCTGGAGACAGGGAAAACAAGTGTTCCCCTGCTAAAATAGAATACTGAGCTAAATAAAGTTTTAAGGCAGGTGACACCTACGGGTTATACTTTGTCTTCACCTGTGTTAGATTAAGCTACAAATACTTACACAAAAATCTTCAACAGAAGCCATAGCAGCAGGCAAGAGTTTTGCCCTGTATTCTGTTCCACCATTTTCTACAAAACTACTTACAAAGCTTTCAGAAAAAAACCCACATTTTAACAAAGCATAAAAGCAAGACCTACCTTAACCCTCCAGATTTTAAAGTGCTATTTTCTTTCTCAATTTCTCAGGCAGTTAAATCTAACTTGGTTTCAAATTCACACCAATTCCTACAGCTACACTACAAGAAGTCAAAACTTCTTGATTACAAGCTATAGGAAAAAAAGCATAAGGACAACAGTATTTCTGAGAAGGCTCTACCCCAAAGGTGATGTACCTGCAGCAATCAGAACTTCTGAACAGCAATAATCACCCACGTTTCCTCCTGTAACTCAGGAGCAAAGCCTCTGCCAAGCCCAGACCCCCCCCCCCCCCCCAAACAACCCAGCTCCTTACTTACTGGCGGCTCATGTGTTCTCAGTGCTACCAGCACCAATATCCCCAAATCCTTCTTTAATAGAGGGAAGCACTAAGTCAGGGCAAAGCTTCAGAGTTTAAACTGTTTGTGCGGCAATGGTCACTCCCCCAAAGCCCAGATGTCTGATTCATGTAAATATTTCAATTTAAAAGTCCTCCCCCCCCTCCATCCCCAGCTGATTCATGAAAAGTTTGAATAGAAAAATCTGTATGGTAACAAATAGCTTTATTTTAAGCCTCCTGTTTTCAGCAAAGCGCCCCCCCAACCCCCCCGATGCCTGGTTCATCCTGTTTTTGCAGGAATGGTGCGGTAGAAAAAGTGCAGTTTTATTAAACTCTCGATGCCGTATGGTTAAATGCACTCCTGCCACTCATCTGCTACTCATCCCTCACGCAGGCAGAAAGGAATTAACTCCAGAAGTTCTGAGTATGTACACAACCGTGTGCATACAGATTTCTGAGTCCAGAAGACCTTGGACTTGGGCCCAAACAAATTCACAGTAACTGAGGATAAAATTAGTTATTTTGATCTGTTAATTCCCCTCAAGATGCATTGCTAACGAGCCCCAATAAGCACTTTCTTCCCTCCGAGCTTGGCTGCCCATGCACACACTTGCACTTGCATTACACCTTTATGTCACCTGGAAACATCACCCTCTATCAGTTCAAATATTAAATCAATCACTCCATTGTTCTTAATGCTTTCCCCTAAGATACATCTGGATTGCTCAGAGACGGCTCCAAACAAAATTTCACAGAATGACAGAATTAAATACACCATATATCATCAAGAATATATCATTTTTAATGCAAATAAACCTGAAGTAGGAGGAAACTGTTTTCATCCTGACTCATGCCAGTGACAAAGCACGTGTGCGCATGGATGAGTTTTAAAGTCTGATCATTACACAGCACCTGATTAAGGAAAGATGCTTTAAGAGATATCTTACCTAAAAACAAACCAATCAATCCAACATAATAAAAACAAGTTGTCACTAATCTACTGACTCATGTTTGTTCTGTACATACATACAACGTATTGCAAGAACTTTTTATAACTTTTGGTTTGGGGGAAGCTTTTCATTCTTTAATATTCCACTATTTAGTCTGTCCAGCTACAGCTGCAATAAAGCACCTGTAGCCTGTTAAGGAGATTGGGGGGATGTAAAGAAGGAGCAACAGCCTCTCATCCCTAAGGCATACTGTCCTGCACAAGGGGAGGTGGGACACCTTCATTCAGGACTACGACAACTCCACACAGAGCACATGATGCTCGAGAACAAAGCAGCTTGTTGCACTTTCAAAGCATGTAGTAGAGCATTCACCCCAAAAATCAGCAAGGAGGAGACAGCAGGGTACTACTTAACACTTCGGCTCACACGTGAGGGGCTGAACACCCCGTAACCCTCCTGTCTCCTTCACCACAGCGGCCTCGGGAGAGCCAGAAACTGCAGACAGTGTCTGAAGCGCAGTACTTGGAGCTGCCGTCACCATCACCCGCAACTTTGCCCTGCAGTGCAGGGTCCCAACACCACCACCCAGCCTGCAGCACCATAAAGGACCTTATTTGCTTCTGGCATAGCAACTATCCAGTGCGGATCCTCCTCAGATGAGGTTTGGTGTATTAACAATCAGCGTACACTGAAATACACAATAGTTTTAATACGCGTGGATGATTTTACAGGGGAACATTGGCTGAGAGAATATTCAGACTACAGCAAAAATAGTCCTCTCCTCACTTACTGAGCTTTTAGTTTCCTGCAAAAAGTTAGTTGATGTTTCACCCATAGCAAAAAGCACCAACTTGCTTTGACTCTTATTTTAGAGAGGCTGTGAGCTGCTTGAAACTCCACCTTCCTTCTCTGGAAGGGATCCCAACAAGTAACTGCTAACTCATTCCCAGCTCATCTGCTACAACTCCAACTGCCATTCATTTTTAACCAATTACATGGCAGCAACTCGAAAAACTAACAATAGATGGCAGATTTTTGAAAGTTGAATGCAGTTAGAGTCGCTATTCACCAAAGAGATTTCAGCATAACAGGGCATAGAGCACTAAAAAAAAAATAAATCCAAACCAACCAGGAAAGCTGCACACTGATTAACGCAATGCAATTCAATTTGAAAGTAAATATTCCAGTCTTGAAAAAACAGCTCCTCTGTATGACAGTCCGGAGGAGCTCAGTGCTTACCGATGGACCCGAATGGGCTCTGATCTACCTACAGCCCTCTGCCTGTTTCAGGGCCCGAGGGAGGCTGCGCACAGGGGACGGGACGGGAAGAAGGCTCAGCACAGCACGCCAGCCCCGGGCCAGGCACCGCCGCCAGCGATCAGAGGTCCAGCGGCACTTTGTGTCCAGTGTGGAAGAGCAGGACCAGGCTCGGCAAAACCATAATGCCACAACCCAGCTCAGGAGCTCTCTACCTAACTCAGGTAGCAGACAGGCTGGCATGGCACCCCTGCCAGGGCAGCTATCTGTCATCCCCACGGAGTGCTGCCGTATCTCACCGCAGCAGCAGCAGGGCAAGTCGCTGGAAGGCGGTTCAGATAAAGGCACGGATGCTACAGCCGTCCCGTCCAGCCGCGGAGCCGAGATACTCCCTACGAGCAGAGGCACACGCAAAGGGAAGAACATCGGTGCTGTCTGCAGGAACAACGGAGCTCTCTGAGCCAAGCAATGTGCTTAATTCACATTAAGATACAGGCAATAACAAAAAGGAAAACAAACCTAAGGCCTACCTTTGAGAGCGAGGCCGCATTAGTAAACTCTGCAAGTAATACTACAGTAATCCGAAACCAAAATAAACAGCAGAGTTTTATTTAGCGTAATTGCAGCTCTTCAGGGAAGCACATCTTGATTTATTTTTAGGGAGGTAAAAGCAGGGGCTAAAATTTGAGCTAGGTAAAGCCAACCATTAGCACTCTGTCAATTTATGTCAGCGGAGAAGTCGATACCTTATTTTCAAGAACTGAAAAACATCTTGCTCAAGATTTCAAAATAACTACGGTTTACGATGGTACATTGGCAAGACACCTCTTCCTTTGTTTACATGTCTGGATAAATATTTTACATGTCAAGCATAGTTATAACACTTTCTAAGAATATTCCATTACATTCTTTCTTATGTGACTAATAATTCTTTCACAAAAATATTTGGCTAGTGTCGTGTTTCAGCAAAATTAGCCAGGAACTGTAGCCATATTTTGTGGAACTGTAAAAAAGGGAAAATACCACTAAGAAAAATACAAAATTGAAAAAGCAGAGACGATGCCTATTTCAACACACGTAACGAGGTGTTCGAGCAGAGGAAAGGTGCCCATTTGGGCACTGAATAAGGTCGCCCTTGAAAGTGGAAAGTTCTAAAATTGCAATGTATTCCAGAACAGTCCACTCCAGCTCATTTTGAATTTGACAAGCAAGAGACCCATCAATACTCTAGCCAAAATTGCAGCTGGCTTTGAGAGTGTTTATCTCAAAGACAACAAGCAAAAGAAAGGCCAGGATTTTTAAAAATTTATTTATTTCAAGGAAACAGTCTTCAAAGTCTGTCCTTGTGAGGAATATTCAACTCTTCTACTGAATAATGCAAGAGATTGAAAAAGAAATTAGCATATTCCAGTAGTAGAGCTTACGCATGATTTTAATAAATCCTTAACAAGAAGATAGGTCTTACTGCAGAGCCTGCTAATTAAAGGGCTTATTAATGTACAAAGAAGCCCTCTCTAACCCTAGGATTTCAACTCAATCCCAATCAGATGTGACCAAAACCGCGACATTTTAGAGCTCTTAACGTGGCCTGCGGGAAATGAGTTTGCCATTTTCAATGCGGCAGTCAACTAGACAAGCCGCTTCCAAGAAACCACCGTCACTCAGTGAACTTGGTGGTAAACCTGGACCAAAACACACACGGGCAGAAGTCTCAGCACACTCAGCACCAGCGGGTGAATGCTTCTTCCAGCCCCGTCTGCGGGGCAGCACGAGGGTGCTGGTACGCTCGTCCTCAGGGCTCCAGCTGCTCTGGGGATAAGTAAAGCATTTAAGTCTCACGGCTGTCAATCCAGCTGGCCCGAGTTCACAGGAGGTTTTGTTTTGAATTGTTATTTTTAATTCAGCTGTGACAAGTCTCCTAATTAAAGATAGCACTAAGTGTCTGCAACACACAGGGTGAGAGACGGGAGAAGAGTCTATTTTCTGCATTAATAATAGTTTCATCTCTCAGAAATGCAGTAATTCCACTTACAAGTGGTGAAACGGTATTTCCCATAAATGTCCACAACACCTTTAAAATGGTCTTGGAATGACTTAACAGCACAAAGTGAAGACAGATACAGATGCCACAGCCATGGCATATTAGCCAATTTTCTGAAAACAATTGAGAGTTTCAAAAAAAAAAAAAGCTTTTAAAAGTAGAGGCTCACCCCATGATCTTGGCAAAGAACATTTTGTAATAGGGCCATTTGACAGACAGGGTACCATTTAAATATAGCACAGCCCTAATGCACTAAGCTCTTCACAGCTTTATAATTAACAGTAAACAGAAATCCAGTTTCACCCTTGCTCATCCAACACCAGGTAACAGACATAATTAGACTGGTTTCACTTCAGTATCTTGCACAGCACGTTCAAACCAAGCTGTTTATCACTGCTCCTCAAGCCTGACGGCAAAACTGCACGTAAACGCATTTCCTCGCTATCAAATAGGTTCATTTAGGTCTTTCTGAGAGCGCTGCATCATACAGCCCTGCGAGGGGACTACCATGTCCAGCAGGCCGGGAGCAGCGATGCCGAGCTGAGTCACAGCAACCTGTTCTGGCCAGAACAGCATGTCTGACCACAGCCTCACCCGTGCACTGGAAAACGGACAGGCAGGGAGGGGGGGCAGATGCACACTCGGGGCCCGTTACAGGATCGGAAACGGGGGACTATTCTGGGAGGTGATAATGAGAAAGCTCCTCTCCCACCTGCTGCTCACACACACCCAAGAAACACAGACAATCAATATTTTTCTCCATTAGCACAGCATCCAGATCAATGGCTTTCCATCATACTCAAAAAT